ACCACGGCCCGGGGCGTCTGAGCTGGTGGCGGCAGGGGGCCGGGACTCTGCTGGTGGCTGCCCAGTCCCTCGGCTTTAAACCGAGCCCCTTCCATTGCCAGGGTGAGGGGAAGGCAGAGGGGTCCGTCTGGCTCTCTGAGCGATCGGTCCGGGGCTGTTGGGATTGCGGGTCCTGTGGGTGATGCGTTCGGGGCGGCGGAGGTAATGGCATGTTTGGAAGCCTTCGTGTTTTTAATAAAACCACTGCTGGTTGCAGATGCTTTGCGTTCCCTGTTCTGGCCAACCCTGGGGACCTCGTGCCAGGCCAGGGGCTGCCCGCTCAAAGCAAGAGCTGTATGGTAAAAACTGCAGCAGAGACCGAGGAGCCTGACAGGAGAAAAACCAACTCCATGCCACCCCGTTGGCTCCTCTGCCTTTCCAATACCCCTTCCAGCCATATCTCCATCCCTTCCACCTTGCTTTCCCCACATATGGACTTCCCATGCCTTGCTTCGGTTGGTTTAGGGATGTTCAGTGGCTCATGCGTGCATCCGGGGTGTCTGACTGCACTTGACTGTTCAGGCAGTGTCCTACAAAAAGCCACCCTGAGTGGTTCACCCCACTCCGCCACCCAAAGGAAAGGCCAACTTCACTGGGGGCTGCTGCCAGTTCCTCCATCCCACTGGAATAACGGGGCTGCCCTGGGCGCCCTGCAGACCTGCAGAGCTGCCGAGTGGCTGCGGGGGCACACACAACAATTTATAATGTAATATATTATTTTTATAAGGCAGCCACACCTTTCCTACGTGGGCAGGCGAGCAGGGGAACAAACCGAAGGCTAATGAAAGCCACGGCTACGGTCTGGCTGGCGGATGAGCAGTGGGACATCCTGCCCCATCTCAAGCAAACACAGGGCACATGGACACTCTGTCCTCACTCCGACTGGGCGGACTGACCCTGCTCCATCCTTCCCTGGCTTTATTCCCTGCTTCGCAGCTCGGTAGCTGCCCCACCGAGGCAGCCCCACCGGTGGTTCCCCAGCACCCATCCGGAGAAAGCAAAGGCTATTCCCAACCTACCGGCCTCCAAAAAGACCCCGGGGTGCTCCCCCCTCCCCTGCGGCAGCCCTGCAGCCCTTGAAAAGGCGTCTCCCTTAATCTGGGACTCTGCCAGCTCTGGTTTATGGCCGAGTTCAGCTCCAGCCCAGGGCTGGGAAAGTCCCGTCGGGACCAGCCGCTCTCCGGGTCCCTGTCTCTGCCACCGTGCCCCCCTCTCCCTCCCCATCCCTTCCACAGACGAGGGGTCCGGCCGCGTGTGCCTGCAGGGAAGGTTACCCGGACACGTGCCGGGCGGCTTCACTGGAGTGTGAACGGCGGGTCGGTGTTTGCATTCATTACAAACCCGTGGAAAACTGGCTGGCTCAGCCCTGGGCAGGACCAGGCTCGACGTGCAGCTGATCCTCAGCCCCTGGCAGCCTCCTGAGAAAGAAACCACTCCTCACCTTCCCC